ATTCCAGGACCTTTGCTCTGCTGGACCTGGGGCTCAAACTCCTGAGAGAATTGGGGAAGGAAGGATGGAGGGCTCTTAATACCTCTTCCTGGTGAGCCCAACACCAGGTTTATCCAAGACAACAAGGGGAGAACTGGGTCCATTTATCCCCTCCAGAGTCACGATTCCAAAATGCTTACTTTCAGTACAATAACTTTCTTTTCCTTCCCACTGTCTTTTTGAAGTTGACTCTCAATGTCACAAGAAGAGCACAGAACATCCATTATGGTGAGGGAAGAGATTTCCAAATTTCTATTTGTATATGTTTTAATATAATTCCTTTAAAATTCAAATTTTGCGCATTATAGAATACTTACTAGTTTAGTGGTTCATATATTTAATTGATAAACAATAAAAATGCATGTATTGGGGGCTTTTACTGATAGAGGTGCACAGTAAAAAAAGCTTGGAGAATATCTCTAGAATCTAGATTATATTTTCTCTGAGATCAGGGACTATACTGTTTTGTGTAACAAACTATTAAAAAGATAGTATCCATACAGAAAAGTATACAAATAAGTCTACAGCCTGCAGAACAGTCCTGAGTAACTAGCATGAAGATCAAGAGTATCACCAGCATCCCAGACCTGGCTGTGCCCTCACTACCCTTTCCCGAAATCACTTCCCTCCCGCCTTCTGGGAATTTCATGTAAATGGAACCATGCTCTGTGTGCTCTTTCATGTTTGGCTTCTTTGCTCAATATTACAAACGTGGGATCCATTTACATGTAGCAGTAGTTCGTTCATTTGCGAAGTGTAGCATTTTCCACTGTGTAAATGTCACCATTTATCCACTCTCCCATTGATGGACCTTGGGCTGTTTTGGGTTTTGGGGTATTATGAGCACTACTGCTGTGAACATGATACGTGTGTTTCAGTGAACATGTGAACACACCTCATGTGGGCTACAGCTCAGAGGGGAGTTGGTGAGTCATAGAGGAGACCAGGTTTGGCATTGCTAAATAGCATATTTTACAACGGGCTCCTGGCAGCAACGTGTGAGAGACCCAGGTTCGTCCCATCCTCCCCAATATGCAGCATTCCCCATGTTGTCTTTATACACACCACCTGGTGAGCACATGGTTACCTCCTTATGGTTTTGATGGCTTTTCTTGATGATTAATGAAGCTAATCTTTTAATGTGTTGGCCACTTGGATATTTTCTTTTGTGAAATGCCTGTTCAAGTCTTTTGCCCTTTTTCTGTTATGCCGTCCATCTTTTTCTTGCGGATCTATAGAACTTCTTTATGTGCACTGCCATTTTCATTTCTTTCTCTCCAGGACCAGCACATTGTCCATTTCATAGCATGTGCTTAATAACTCTCCAGGTTGTTGCAGAATGAATTAGCACATACGATAGGAAAAGTAACCTCTGTTGAATGAATGAGGCCTTTACATACTTTTGTGTATTTTTTTGGTTTATGGTAACAACTTAAAGTATAATTTGAAGTATAATTTACAACTTGAAGTATAATTTACATCCCCAAATTGTACTTGTTTTAAGCATACAATTTAATGATTTCCTGTGTTGTGCAACCATTACCACAATCCAATTTCAGAACATTGTCATTGCCCCAAAAGGAAAGATTATGCCCATTTATGTACACTCTATTACCAACTCTAGCCCCAGGCAAGTGCTAATTTATTTACTGTCTCTTTCATATATGTGCAATCATGCAATATGTAGGCTTTTGTCTCTGGCTTCTTTCACTTAGTGTAATGCCTTTGAAGTCCATCCGTGTTGTGGCATGTGCCAGTACCCCATTCCTGTCCATGGCTGACTGAATATTCCATTGCATGGGTATATGATGTCTTGCCTATGTAGTCATCAACTGAAGGACATTTGGATTATTTCCACTTTTTGGCTATTATCAATAGTGCTGCTATGAACATTCACTACAGTTTTGGGGTAGCCATTTGTTTGCATTTCTCTTCAGTAGATACCTGGGAGGGACTTTATGGATCATAGGGCAAATTTATGTGCAGCTTTTTAAGAAACTGAAACAACCAGAGGTTGATGATGGAAAGACATATAAGGCTGTATTGTATAGAAAAGAAATATCTGCCAGCACATAGTTACTAAAAGCATGGTGTCAACAGAAAGCTAAGAAAGAGAGACTAAAGGCTGCTCTTAGTTTACAGTGTAATCTGGATGTTCTAACACATGTGTTTATAGAGTAACTTGGCAATATGGAAAACTGGAAGATGAGCAGGGGTCCAGACAATCTTCACAAAATGAATTCAGAAAGTACTGAATGCCTACCTTTTACAGGATTCAATGTTAAGCTTTAAGAAGGATAGATGGAAGTTTAAAACAAACATGCTATTCCTCCCCTGAGTTACTAGGAGTTTAATCAGTAAAATAAAACTTACTTATCAAAGAAGTTAATTTTTTTAATCCTCCCCTGAGGATATGTTTATTGATTTTAAAGGGAGAAAGAGAAACATCGATCAGTTGCCTCTCCTGTGCACCCTGACCAGGGATCAAACCTGAAACTTAGGTATGTGTCCTGATGGAAATGGAACAGGCAACCTTTTGGTGTACAGGATGACGCTCCAACCAACTGAGAAAACTGGCCTTCTAAAGAAGTTAAAAACAGAATAAATGATAGCTGTACTTTCACTTACATCTTTTAAACATTAGAATTTTTCAGCAGTAAGTGCAAAGCCCACAAGGATTCCTTGGGAGACATCTGCAGAGGGCAGGTAAGAACCAGGCCAGACAAACAGCAGCAATAGCAGTGAAATACTGCATAGAGCCCAAAGAACAGCCCTCCCAACACAGTTAGTGTAAGAGTCCTCCTACACTAAGTCAGTGCCTTAAGAACAAAGGCTACAAGAATTCCTGGGAGGGGAAAAAGGCTGAATACTGAGATGAACAAGATCATTTTAAACAGGACAAGCATTCCCACTGGCACTATACTGGCTGCATCATGAACAGGGGCTCCACAGAGGTATAAGGTAACAATAAGTACATTTGTTTTGCATATTTGTGACGTAGTGGATAAACTTCCCAGGTGCTAAAAATCTTGGTGATATCTTACCAAATTATGTGCACATACATGCCTAAATTAAAAAATACCAAAATATTAAAATACTCTGATGGGCATAATTATTGGTTACTTTTATTTTCCTTGTTTCTCATCATGTTATCTGATTTTCTAAAGAGAACATAAATTATCTTAACATTTCTTAATAAATCATGACATTCAGAATTTACATAATATTTAAGTAATAGAAGATCAGGAAGGAGGATGGAAAAGGGGAAAGTAGGTGAGGGGGGAACTCTTTCCTTCAAAATCTTAGGAGAAAACAGAAACCCAGAGAGTGTTCCTTTAACATTTTTGGCATTCCAAAGATATAAGTTTCCACTTCTATTGTTGCACTGGAAATCTTAGTTCAAAATGAAGTGTTAGATAGTAAATAACCAAGATCATTGAGCTAGACAGATAATAATGCTAATACTTGAGTACTTTACATGCCTGGCATCGCTCTAAATAATTTACATTTTTACCCACTTAATCACCTTAATAACTTTATGATATAAATATTACTATTATTTTCTTCTCATGATGAGGAACATGAGGCTCAGACAGGTTATGTGAATTGCCCAAGGGCACGTAGCTAGAAAGTGGCAGAACCGAGGTTTGGAACAGGGAGCCCAGATATTTAACCATCTCAAGTCATATTCCAGCTATTGGATTCAGTCTCCAGTCTCAGATGGGGAAAGGGACTCAAAGGCGTTAAAGGATTTGTCTGAGGTGACTTCATAGATGAGATCAGACACAGCAGTTTCACTGACTGCTAGTCCAGTTTCACTTCTAAGGACTGACCTTGTGTATCACCAGAGAGCCCTTTCTTAAGATACCATTTGTGGATGAGCTAAAAGGATACAGTGTCCTGACTCTGGCAAGATGGACTAGACTAGAGGAAGCAGCACTCAATATATTGTACAGTAAGCCAGATCTGAGTTCAAAGCCTGGTTCTACTGTTTACTAGCCATATGATGGTGGGCAAGTCATACCCTCAGAGCCCAGTTTTTCTACTGTTGAACTGGGGCAATAACCACATCAGCTCATACGATTACAGGAATGAAATGAAAGAATTGACAAAAAGAAAAAAGGACTCACAGACATGGTCAACAGGATGGTGACTGTGGGGGTAGGGGTGGCTGGAGGTGGAAGAGGGTAAAAGGGGACAAATGGTAATGGGGAAAAATACGATTAAAAAAGAATTGGAAGAAACTGAGAGCCATGATCAATTTTGGTGCTGCAGAAATTTGGGGTGGGCGATTTAGAGCTGAAGTGTATGGGGTGCTGTGCAGGTTGAGATTTTTCAAGCCCAAACGGAATCATAGGTTACTCAATGGTACCATGGAGGATTCTGGGTAGAAGGAAGGCCCTGGACCAACTCTCCTAACTTGAGCTGGACCGTATCAGGAGATATGAAACTTGAGGTCAGCCTGCTAACAGTCCCATATTCTCCAGATACAGGAAATTTTAGTTCTTTTTTAGCACTTGATTAGGTCAGTTACTTTTAGTGACTCTTCTATAACAAATTTTGCAGCTCTGCATTAAGGAACTCTTAATGGTGGCTGTGGTCAAGAGTTTGTTCCTCATATTTCTAGCTAAGCAAAGGTTTGTCAATTTGCAATCCATGGCATAATATAAACAATCTGCATTTGTCAACTTGCCCATGGCCTGGGGCCAGACTGAGGCTGCTTAGGTGAGATGGTTTAAATGCAAAATATGGCTCAACAGTGATTCTCAAAGCTAGGCTGGGCCTGGGCATAAGCATATTTTAAAGTTACTCAGGTGATTCTAATGTATACAGCCAGTATTGAGAACCACTGACGCAAAGCATAGAAAGATGTGCAAGATCTTATGGCTTTTATAGCCCAGACTGACAGATTTTATAAAGGACTTCTAGGCAAACATAGTGAGAGATAAAGACCAAGGTTGGGGGGGGGGGTGTTGTGGAGTGCCTGCAAAGCACGGGCTGAGAAATCTCTATTTAATAGGCAATAAGGACCCATGGAAGGTTATTGAGCAGGATGTAAGGGTAGGCAGTAATAAGTATACAGAGAAGTGCAACTATTTAATATAGTTTAGAAAATGGGCTTTTTTTTCTATGAAGTAGGCAACGAAGCTTTCTTTTACTTCTATACCCTCAGCTTAAAATCAACTTCCTTCAGCACCATGGTCCACTGGTCCCTGGAGAGCGGACACTTGTTCAAATGATCTTTGTAGGTATCTGGAGGGTTGCATAAAAGGTATCAGCCTTCCATGAATATTTGTTGACTGAGTAAATGAATGTGGCCCATCTGGGTATCAGGAGAATTGGTACCCTCCGCCAGTCCCTTTGCATGTAAAACGGTGGGGGCTGGGCCTCTCACCTTTCCCCCTTCCTTAATTTATCCTCAGCCCCTATGGAGCTGATTCTAACTCTAATTCCGTCACCTCCTCTGTGAGTGGTGCCTCTTTGTAACACGCTGCCACCTGGCTTCCCGGCTTCGGGCGCTAGGCTTCAAACCTGTCTTTCACCCATTGTTCAGTTTCCAGCGAGTCAAGTTCAACCCCAGGTTCAACCACTATAGTGACAGTCACAAACACATTCCCCTACGGGTACCTCGGAGGGGGCGCCCACTCCTAAAAAACAGGCACAGGAGGGCGTTTCTATTCCAGCGGCCCCTGGTGTTGGGGGTGTGAATGGGGAGACACCTCCCCACTGACCTGCCCCTAAGGCAAGCGAGCGCCCAGCCCTCAGCGGGCGTGGCCGCTCTGGTCCAGCCCCCGACCCGCCCCCGTTGCCGTTGAGAGAGCCTCCGCTCGGCCACCTAGCCGCCACCCCCTCTCCACGTACGCCGGGCCACTCCCTTGCTGCGGAGCCCCGCGGAGGGTGATGCTCAGGATCCCAGTTCTCCCCCGAGCTGCGCATTTCCGCGTGCCAAGGCGGCTCCAGATCCGGCCGGCCCTCGCGGCAGGAGCCCGCGTTCCGCGTCCACAAGAAGTTGTCTCCGGAGCCCGCTGCGCCTCGGTCTCCTCCCCCTGAGCCCCGCCCCCCCGGCCCGGAGCTGGGATCTGCGTGCAGCCCGGCCCGGGGGCGTCGCCGCTTGCTCTTCGAAACCAACGAGTCGCTGCTTCCCAGCGCTGAGCGCGCGTTCCCCGCTTGGCTGGGGACCCCCGCGCACCCCCGAGACGGCGCGCGCCCAGAGCGCGGGAGCCCGGAGCACCGGGCGCCTGGGACCCCGGGGAGCCACTGCCCAGCCCGCGGGGCTCGGCAGGGATGCAGGCTGCTCTGTGAGCCCGGGCGCCAAAGCCATGTCCGGGTCCCGCTGCCGGACCCTGTACCCCTTCTCTGGGGAGCGTCACGGCCACGGGCTGCGCTTTGCTGCAGGCGAGCTGATCACCCTGCTGCAGGTTCCGGACGGCGGCTGGTGGGAAGGCGAGAAGGAGGACGGGCTCCGCGGCTGGTTCCCAGCGAGCTACGTGCAGTTGCTGGAGGTAAGGGGAGAGGGCCGGGGTCTGGGAGGTCCGGGGCTCCGGTCCTCGGCGCGCTCTCAGACCTGTTGCCCGCACCGGGAATTCCGGAGCCGCCCCTGTCAGACCTGCGCCCCCGGGGCAGCCACTGCTCACCAGACCCGTAGTTCCGCTCTCCTGGGGGCTGCGAAGGCGCGGGCGTCCCTTGGGGCGTGTGCAGCGCCGGGAATCGTCCCCTCGTCGCCCCCCGTGCTGGGCCTCTCGGCACGTCGTGGCGCCCCGAGGAAACGAGAACTTGTTGCCTGTGAGTTCTGGAGCGGGCGGGAGCGTTCCCGGCAGTGGTAGGGGCGGGTAAAGGGCTGCTGAGTCCAGCAGTCTACTCGAGACGCACCGAGGGTCCGGAATTGAAAAAGTGGCACCGCAGCCCCGCGTCTCCACCCCGAGGCCCGGAGCCTGCCGACCCATGGATGGTCTTGCTGCCCCGGGTGAGTCTGTCTGGCGGTCTTGGGGCCGCCCACTTGCTGGTCAGCTGAGCCTGGCTGGCTGCCAACCCGAGACCCGTCAGCAGGCTTAACTCAGGGGTGCCACAGCCCCCAGCCAGCGCCCCCTCCTCTTTAGAACCTGAAAGTAGCTTGTCGCTGGGGTTCCGGCCTGGCCCCAGGGCTACGGGGGACCTGTTGAGCCAAGTCCACTGGCTGTTTATTGCCCGAGTGACAGTAGGTAGGGTTCTCTGTCCTCTAATCGCTGAGCTCATGGTAACAACCTGAGTGGGACCCGAAGTTTCTAAAGCCCTGGAGGCGGGGGTGGGGGCTGGTGCTGGTGACCTTACAGGACAACTCCTTTAGTAAAAGGCCGCCTGACCCTGGGAGCGTTGTAAAGATTAAATGAGCAGTTACCGCAATTGAGACACATAGGGAACCGTTCTGGTAAAACGCTGCCCAAATCATGGTAACTGAATTTATTTATAATTTAAACCCTGACCTACTTCACGAAAAATCAGAGTAGCAAATTTTGACTGAAAATGCTTCCCGCAACTCAAGAGAAAGAAGAGAAGGAAAAGAAAGGGAAGGAATGAGAACAAAAAGAAAGAGGTGAAATGGTTATAGAGTTTGCCTGAGAAGTATCCTGTGGAAACATTATCAAACATGGAGCCTGGCTGCCTAGAGGTACATTATGTTTCTTTCAGTCCAGAGGAGAACAACAGAATTGTCCCTCCTAAATGAATCCCGTACAGGTATTTGAGCGAAGTTGAGCCTGGAAGGTGCTTTCAGGGGCTGCCAGCAGAATGTTCCCTAACCCTCTCGGTTCCCTGTTTGGAGAACCTATGAGTGTGGGAGAGGCTCAGGTGTGTTCCTCAGCTTTCCCAGTTCCTTTTCTGAGATTCCCATGTGAAAGCAAGTGCATACCTTCCTATGAAGACCTGGAGCCCCCTTTTTTTTCTAGCTCAGAAGCCATGAGGAAGACTCCTATTTAAGAGTTCCTCTGGTGGCCATAGTTTTCCAGGAAATACTGACATGGAAATAGGGCTGTTGGATGTCTGTCTGGTGAGGAGCATCCCGGGCTGGATGCATCCAGTTCTGTTTTGGGCTGGGGTGATGCTGGTGGGTTTGTAGACTGTGTTAGTAAGAGTGGAGTGCCTCTGCATTTCTTAGTGGGGGAAAGGGAGGGCAGACACGACCCAGGGGACCAGCTAAATGATCAGCTGGGACAGTCGTGGGTGTGCCACGGCTTACATATACTTAGGAAATCTCTGGTGCCCAAGGGACTTTCTCAGACAATTCTTACCTGGTGACTTGTGGCAGGAGTACCATCTGTGTGAGCAGCCCTGATGAGCAGGCCTTTCATTTGTTGAGTACCTACTAGGTGCTAGGCATGATACATACGTTGTCACCAATTCCCCTGGCAGCTCTGTAACTGGGTGGGCACCATGCCCATTTTACAGGGAAGCAAACTGCAGAGGAGAGAGGTGAAGGAAATTGCTCAAAGAGTAATGCTTGCATAGTTGCTTAGCAGCTCAGATAGCTCAGTGGTACTGTCCGTGCCCGTGTCTCTTTTAAACATGATAGCCTGGGCTCAGTTGTGTGGAAAGGCCAGTGAGAGAAGGTGTGGATCCACGAGGGAAAGGGCAAGTGCAGCCGTCAAGGTCAGCATGGGGAGGTTGAAACACAAGGGCTAAAATGAGGGCAGCCACTCTTTCCCACCTAGAACATCTCTCTCCTAACCCTGGAGTTTGTTTTCATTCAGAGTCAGCTGGTTTGCCCACAGCAGCAGGCTGTGCTCTGAGCCCTGGCACTTTTCAGGGCCAAAGTTGATGCTGTTTTGACAGACAGGATTGTAGATCAGGCTCTGTGTGTCTGTGAACCTCATCCACAAGCAGACTGGACTTCAGGGCTGAGGCCTGGGCAGGGATGGGGTGAGTCCTCAAAGACAGACTCACTTAGTGGGGAATGCAGAGCTCTCAAAGGAGTCATTGGTGGTGGGCTGGCCAGCATGTGAAAACGTGAGTCTGGAGGAACATTAGCCAGGTGTTTGTCTAGGCTGAGAGTTAGTGCAGAGACCAGGGAGCCAAAGAAGAAGCCCATTGATCCTGAAGGTGGTAAACCTTGTGGGATGTTTGCCAAAGGGATGGCTGGCATGGAGCTTGCTGGGGACATGGAGTTCAAAAGGCCAGGGGAGCTGTTGGGGACAGCAGAACAGAGAAAATGGGCACCACCAGCCTCCTGGGGGAGGAGGGCATGGTGGGGGAATGGCTGAGAATGTCACCTCCACCTCAGTGTTCTTTTCTCCTTCTGGTGGAGAGTGATAGCAGGAAACCCTGGTGGATGGAAGCTGGGGCTAGGGCTTGAGAGCTGCATGTGCAAGACGGACACTCCCCAAGGATTCCTTCCTCGTTCATATGAGAAAAAAGGAGAACCGAGAGCCCCTGCTGTGCAGGAAGCATAGCCCATGAAGGGGAGTTGGGAGGTAACTTGGAGAGGCAGACAGATCTGCCCTGGTGGCCAGGCCTTGGGGAGGGGCCGGTGTGGTAGATTCTGATCCTGGTTCCTGGGGAAATCTCTTTGACCCAGACTCCAAGGGAATGGGGCAGCGTCCAGGAAAACCTCTGCCTGAGCAGAGAAGTGCAGTGGGCAGCCTTCCAGGGGCTGCCAGGGGGAAGAAGTCACCTCCTCCCAGGAAAGGAAGGAGGCCCATAGATAAGACCCACAGCTGCTGCCTATGAGCTATACAGGCCCTTAGATAAAAGCAGCCAGGAAAGTCTTTCTTGAGGATCACCTCAGCCATGAACAGGGAGAGGGGCTGAGAACTCTTCTGACATTTGAGAGGCATGGTTGAGGAGGAGCAGGGATGAAGGGGACCCGAGATGGGACTGGAGTCTTTGGAAGTGCATTCTGTGGGCTCCAAGCCATGCCTGAGGTCACCTGCACAGACTTGGAGGCCCAGTAGGGGAAGGGATTTCCACCAGACTTCTGGGGTACATGCAGGCTGAAAGCGGCACAGGTAGATGGAGCACAGAGCCCAGCTCTCCATCCCCTGGGAAGAGCTGGAGAGTTAGACCTGGTCCAATAGCCCGACAGGTTCAATAGCTGGAGGGCCTAGCCCTGGCCCACGAATTCCTGGTGGCCTGCTGTTCCCTCATATGAAGAGAAGAAACCAGGGACCTGCAAGATACTGTGAGACATCTGGAAAAACTCCCAGAACTTTTGGGAAATAATTTTGGAGGTCAATAAGATTTGAATGCAAATACAACAGCTTTCCTTAACCTATGGGCTATTCTTAGAATCCACGATCTGGCTGGAAGGTCAGGACCTCAGAGGTACTAGCAGAATATGATGTTGTCTGCCTATGGAACTAGGTGGTTGAGAGAGTCACCCTTGAACTTGGTCTCCTTCTCCCTACCTTCTCTTCTCCCATTTTGGGTTCCTGTGGTTGTGCTACAGGAATTTCCAAGGTGTGGCTGTGGGAGAGAGATGTGGAGCTGGGGGAGGGGCTATGTTATAGATAATTAAGGAATAATGTTTTATCTATTGCTGTGTAACAAGCCACCCCAAAACTTAGGGTCTCAAAACAACCATTTGTTATTGCACATTTCTGTGGGCTGACAGGACTCAGTTGGGCAGTTCTTCTGCTCATCTTTCTTGGTGTCTCCCATGAGTTTGTAGGCAGGTGGCAACTGGAGCTGGAATTCTGGAGGCTCACGGGCTGGACCCTCCAAAACGGTGCCTGGGTATTCTTCATGTGGCCTTTCCCTCCCCATGGTGCCTCAGCCTCCAGGGCCTTTCCACACGGTCTTCTCTTCAGCAGGGGACTTGAAGTTTTTGCATGGTGGTTGGCTTCTAAGAACACAGACGTCCAAATTGTCAGGCCTTTTTTTTATGTTTATTGATTTTTTACTGATGTCCAGCTTACATGGACACGAGAACAGGGCTTCCTGGGTTACCAAACATTTTCTATCCCCAGCAGCCATGCTCGTAAAGTCAATCGGGCCATCAGATAAAAGCTGGGCTTTTTCAGGCTGAGCGGAGAGAGAGAAACACTGATGTGAATGAGAAACATTGGTTGCCTCCCATCTACTTCCCAACAGGGGATCGAACCCAAAAGCCAGGGATGTGCCCTGACTGGGAATCAAACCCCCAGCCTTTTGGTGTACGAGATGATGCTCCAACCAACTGAACCACACTGGCCAGGGCTGTCAGGCTTTCTTAAGGCTTAGGCTCCAGTCTGGCACATCACTTCCAGCACATTCTTTTGGTAAAGTGAGTCACAGGACCCGTCCAGGTTCAGTGTTGGGGAGAGGTACATACAGGTGCGGATGCAGGGAGACCAGGGAGGGCCATTTTGCAGATTAACTCCCTCAGAAGTGTAGGGGGACACTCCTAGGACAGATGATCTTACAGGGGAAGCAGTGCCAGGCCAGTCTGAAGGCAGAGCCTCCAGAGGTGGGTAAAAGGCAGAAGACTTTGCTGTTTGCTAGGAAATTCTCATTGCCATCCTAGGAGGATTTTTTAAAAAAATTTTTCAAGATG